GGGTTACCTCTTAATAATAAAAGAAGAAAATCCCAGAAAAGAGCAAAAAATTTTAAGAAGATTGTGTGTGTACAAAAAGATTGGGGAGGATTAAAAGATTATAAACTTTCCAGTCTGGTGATCGACGACATAAAGATGGAGCTACCGTTTTCACTAATACATAATGTTTAAAAAAAAATATCTCTTTGGTAATAAACAAACAAAAAATTTTTGTTTTTGTCATTTAAAAAATTCTACAGACGTCAATAGGAGACGAAAATTTAAAAAATAAACAAATATAAATAAAATAGAAATACATTTCTCGTTTCTTCGTCATTTCTATTATTAAATATCTCGAACATGTACTTTAAACATACTTGAAATGGAAATAAATCATTGAGCGACGGTAAAACTAACCATCACGCTTTTTGATGTCGATAATAAATAATAATCTTAGAACGTTGTCGTCCGCCGCGCAAAAACATTTTCCATTAAAAAAAATTTAAACAAGACAAGAAGATAAATTATACACAAAAGGGCATTGTCTATAAGATACACAAGGTAATATAAAACGACCGAGATGAAAATGCAACAAGTTTGGGAACGGAATGTGCCTCTTATCTTTTATTGTATCGGTAGTGTTTCGTTGCTGGAAGAGAAAGTCTGACAATTGTAAAAAAAATAAACAATTATGATATAATAAGATGTAGGTCAGGTATTTAAATGGAAAATGTTTGCTTTTAAATAAACTATTTAGTACACTAAAAAAATCATTAGATTTAATAGTTTGTTAATACTTAATTGAATACCAATTATTTTGATTTATTGTTTTTAATAATCTATCATAAATCATTATTGATTTAATCCTTTTCCGTATCGTTTTCAATTGAAACCAATATTTAACGTTGTATTTATCGCAAGAGAAATGATTGTACTGAATCATTTATGTTGATAATCAATTTATTAAGTAGTGTAAGAATTTTTTAAGTATTTATATAATTATAATTTAAATCAATTAAAAATACGAAGTATTACAGAGATATGTGATTAACTATTTTTTATTGCCACATAAATAAAAGAATGGACATAAATACATATTTTTTATGTGATATAAAACAATTCACACAACAAAAATTTTAAATTAACACTATTAATTTATTAGGTTAAAAGACATCTTTATAAATATCAATTAAAATATGATATCTATCTTAAATTAAAGATTCAAATGTTTACTTTATGATGGTGTATACTAATATTTGGGTTAGATAAAAAATTTTTTGAAAAAACAATTATTTAAACAAACACTCAAAATTAGTTAGGCTAAAACGAATTTTTAAAAATACAAATTAAAAAAAATCATGTCTCTTTTATTTGGAGGAACTCAAAAACGATATTTATCTTAAATTGTAGTTTGAAATGTTTACTTCAAGATGATATATAATAATATTTGGGTTGGATAAGAAAATTATTGACAAAAATATTTTTAAGCAAACACTAAAAATTACGTAGGTTATAAGATTTTCTTAAAAATACAAATTTATAAAAAATGATATCTCCTTTATTTGGAGGAACTCAAAATTGATACTTATCTTAAATTAAAGTTTGAAGTGTTTACTTTAAGATGGTGTATAATAATGTTCAGGTTGGATAAGAAAATTTGTTGAGAAAAAAAATATTTAATCAAACAAACCCATTTTAAAAAATACAAATTTATAAAAATGATATCTCCATTATTTAGAGGAACCTAAAAATAATATTTATCTTAAATTAATATTTGAAATGTTTACTTTAAAATGATATATAAACATTTTTGGGTTAACTAAGAGAATTATTGAGTAAAAAATTATTAAAGTAACCACTAATAATTAGTCAGGTTATAAGATATTTTTATAAACACTAATTTAAAAAAAATCATATCTTCTTTATTTGGAGGAACTCAAAAACGATACTTATCTTAAATTGAAGTTTGAAATGTTTACTTCAAGATGATATATAATAACATTTGGGTTGGATAAGAAAATTATTGAGTAAAACAATTTTTAAGCGAACACTAAAAATTAGTTAGATTATAAGATTATCTTAAAAATACAAATTTATAAAAAATGATATCTCCTTTATTTGGAGGAACTCAAAAACGATATTTATCTTAAATTGAAGTTTGAATTGTTTACTTTAAGATGATATATAATAATATTTGGGTTGGATAAGAAAATTATTGAGAAAAACAATTTTTAAGCAAACACTAAAAATTAGTTAGGTTATAAGATTTTCTTAACAAGACAAATTTATAAAAAATGTATATCTCCTTTATTTGGAGGAACTCAAAAATGATACGTATCTTAAATTAAAGTTTGAAGTGTTTACTTTAAGATGGTGTATAATAATATTTAGGTTGGATAAGAAAATTATTGAGAAAAGAAGTATTTAAGCGGACACTAAAAATTAGTTAGGTTGTAACGCATTTTTAACAATACAAATTTAAAAAAAATCATATCTCTTTTATTTGGAGGAATTTAAAAATGATATTTACCTTAAATTAATATTTGAAATGTTTACTTTAAGATGATACATAAAAATTTTAGGGTTGGATAAGAAAATTATTTAGAAAAGAAATGTTTAAGCAAACACTAAAACTCAGTTAGGTTAATTAAAAAAAAATCATATCTCTCTTATTTGGAGGAATTTAAAAATGATATTTACCTTAAATTAATATTTGAAATGTTTACTTTAAGATGATACATAAAAATTTTAGAGTTGGATAAGAAAATTATTTAAGCAATCACTGAAAATTAGTCAGGTTATAAGATACTTTTATAAACACTAGTTTAAAAAAATCATAACTTCTTTATTTGGAGGAACTTAAAAACGATATTTATTCTAAATTAAAGCTTGAATTGTTTACTTTAAGATGATGTATAGTAATATACGGGTTGGATAAGAAAATTGTTGAGAAAAGAAATGTTTAAGCAAACACTAAAAATTAGTTAGGTTAATTAAAAAAAATCATATCTCTCTTATTTGGAGGAATTCAAAAATGATATGTACCGTAAATTAATATTTGAAATGTTTACTTTAAGATGGTATACAAAGATTTTAGGGTTGGATAAGAAAATTATTGAGAAAAAAATTATTTAAGTAAACACTAAAAATTAGTTAGGTTATAAGATATTTCTATAAACACTAATTTAAAAAAATCATATCTCCTTTATTTGAAGGAACTCAAAAATGATATTTATCTTAAATTAAAGTTTGAAATGTTTATTTTAAGACGGTGTATAATAATATATAGGTTGGATAAGAAAATTATTGAGAAATAAGATTCTTAAGCAAATACTAAACGTTAGTTAGATTATAACACTTTCTTAAAAACACAAATTTATAAAAAATCATATCTTCTTTATTTGAAGGAACTCAAAAACGATATTTATCTTAAATTAAAGTTTGAAATGTTTACTATAAGATGATATATAATAATATACAGGTTGGATAAGAAAATTATTGAGAAAAAAAAATTTAAGCAGACACTAAAAATTAGTTGGGTTGTAACGCATTTTTAAATATACAAATTAAAAAAATCATATCTGGTTTATTTGGAGGAATTCAAAAACGATATTTACCTTAAATTAATATTTGAAATGTTTACTTTAAGATGATATACAAAGATTTTAGGGTAGGATAAGAAAATTATTGAGAAAAAAATTATTTAAGTAAACACTAAAAATTAGTTAGGTTATAAGATATTTCTATAAACACTAATTTAAAAAAAAATCATATCTCCTTTATTTGGAGGAACTCAAAAATGATATTTATCTTAAATTAAAGTTTGAAATGTTTATTTTAAGACGGTGTATAATAATATATAGGTTGGATAAGAAAATTATTGAGAAATAAGATTCTTAAGCAAATACTAAACGTTAGTTAGATTATAACACTTTTTTAAAAACACAAATTTATAAAAAATCATATCTTCTTTATTTGAAGGAACTCAAAAACGATATTTATCTTAAATTAAAGTTTGAAATGTTTACTATAAGATGATGTATAATAATATACAGGTTGGATAAGAAAATTATTGAGAAAAAAAAATGTAAGCAGATACTAAAAAATAGTTGGGTTGTAATGCATTTTTACAAATACAAATTAAAAAAATCATATCTCTTTTATTTGGAGGAATTCAAAAATGATATATATCTTAAATTAATATTTGAAATGTTTACTTTAAGATGATTTATAAAAATTTTGGGGTTGGATAACAAAATTATTGAGTAAAAAATTATTAAAGTAAACGTTAAAAATTAGTTAGGTTATAAGATATTTTTACAAATACTAATTTTTAAAAAAATCATATCTTTTTTATTTGGAGGAACTCAAAAATGATATTTATCTTAAATTAAAGTTTGAAATGTTTTCTTTAAGACGGTGTATAATAATATATGGGTTGGATATGAAAATTATTGAGAAAATAAATATTTAACCAAACCCTAAAAATTATTTATTATGAAGGAATTATGAATTAAAAAATGATATCTATCTTAACTTCAAGCTTAAACATCTTCTTTAAGGTGGTGTAATATAATATATATGTTTGATGAGAAACTTATTGAGAAATTAATTATTGTGCAAATTAATAAAATTGATTAGATAAATAAATAATTTTTTCTTTTAAACGAATAATCACACTAAAATTTTTACAGTTATAGTTGAGTATTAATAATTTAGTACAAGTTTAAGTCCAAAAAGCCATCGACAAACTTTAAGGGGTTCCAACCAACTTTTTTTCATCAATTTTACCTTGCAACTTAAGAAGATAATCGTGTTATAAGCACATCACTGAAACAATTCCACAACTTTTTCGTTTCAAAATTTTCGATTTTTATTGAAAACAAAATTATTTACCTTATTATCTGAAGTGTTTTTTTATTTGTAACGTTTAATTTATTATTTTAGCCTCTTTTTTAATACTTTTTGAAGTTTATCGATGGTTTTTCGCTGAAAAACAATTGAATCCAAAAACAACTCACCATCATCTTTTGGTGATGGTGGACAATTGCTCGCGTAAGATCCCAAATGATATCCCGTATACGTATTTTGATGCATAGGTGGAAAAGGATAAGCTCCAAGAGCACCTCTAGGGCTCGGAAAACCCGTATCATGGGCACCCGGAGGTCCTCCGTGAGCATTTCCCGCTGGTGAGTTAAAGTGATGTTGATACGACGTCCGAAGGGGTCCATAACCGTGTTGTTGAAGTTCGATGAAAGCACTCTTTGATACCGGCGTTGAATTATTACTTTCGTGGGGCGTCGGAGGACCTATGTGACCCTCCGCGGACATCGTCGGAGTTCCCGGTGGATCCTCATTGGGCCCCCCGAAAGGGGAACCCAAATCCGTAAAGTTCAACGTGGTGAAAGGTTTGTTATCCACCTTGATAAAAATATCCGATGAGTTGAACTGAATTGTTTCAAATCAAATCAAATTGTTTTCAATTAAATTTTATTTAATTTTTAAAATAACACTTTAAGCACCAAGAAGCACTAAATAATATTCGAAGAACTGATTGTCACCGACACCGAAAATTTAGATTACTAATTTATATTATTAGTAAATAACTCCGACGATAACGTTAAAAGATCACGAAAACCGCGCGCACTGATAATACATGTAATTCACACTATAATCGTTCGAAAATCATTCGAGAGAGGTTAACCCGAAAACAAATTACACGAAATTGAGTACATATGTCGTTTCTTTTTATTTTTTTTTTTGATCGTTCAACGGTTACGTAGAAAATTACTCTCAAACACAACCATCTACTTCCTACGAGTGTAGGTACTATAATGAAGAATAATCATATAATAGTCGGCTTGGAAGGAGTTGCCTTCTTTCGCCGCAAGGTTTCGCTACACTGCAGCGGTACCAATTCGAAACGACGCCCACTCGATCTCCCATTGGCCGGAAACCTGTTTTGGGTGGTCGTAAAACTCGTTTTAGTGCCGGTTTAACCAGTTCGAGGCGGGATTTAAACCCGACTCCGATACGCCGAACTACGCCCATTACAGACTTCCAGGCGCTTGTGTCATTTTTAAGGTTAGGTTGTGTTGTTTTGGTGCTCCTTCTATGAAATTCGTGGAAACCTAAAGTTACAAGTATAAAACAAGTGATGTGCTGAATTTCTTCTTTTTTAATCTGCCTGTATATGTATATTTGTGCGCCCATAACTTAAAAGTGATAATATAATATATCTATAAAAATGTGAATGAATTATTGTTTATTACGAATCTGTTTTATTTTAATTTATAAATAAAATGTCTTGGAATTTTTTGATTTTTTTTATTAAACGTGATTTATTAAAATATACAATGAAATGTTTTATATTATAAGGTAAGTTAATTTATTATTCTTAATTGTGGGTTTTAAAAATATCAACACTTAATTAATCATTAAAATTTTAAAATGAATATGTTAAAATTATCAATTTAATTAATTCTTTATAGTTGTAATATTTAATATAAGTATATAAAAAATATTATATATATATCTGTATTTAATATGAACCTAAAATTGGTCATCTTATTGTTGCGTATCGGCTTTATATTATATATATATATATATATATATACAGTATGTCCACGGAAAAGGTGGTGAATAAGAAAAACCTTTTTATTTTTAATTTTATCGAAAAAAGTTAATTTTGATAAAAAGTTTTGCTAGTTCTTAGAGTAAGATTAGGATAGAAACATTTAACATATTTTATACGCGGTGTTATTTCCATATCTTTGCAAATAAATGCACGTTACTCTTGTACCATTTAAAGTTTTTTCAATTTTCTGAACACCGCGTATAAAATATGTTAAATGTTTCTATCCTAATCTTACTCTAAGAACTAGCAAAATTTTGTATCAAGATTAACTTTTTTCGATAAAATTGAAAATAAAAAAGTTTTTCCTATTCAACACCTTTTCCGTGGACATACTGTATATATATATATACATATATATGTACAGAGTGTTTAGAAATTGGCGGACTCTGAATCGAAAATCTTAATGCTTTTCTACTATGTTGCCAAATCTGTTTTTCATGAAATATGATAATGAAAAAATGTTAAAAAGTTTAAAGTTTAAAGCTAACGAAAATAACTTCAAACTCTTTTTAACTCAAAAAAACTAGTTTTCAAAATTCTTTTTATTATAAATTACAGCTTATTTATCAACAGATATTGAATATTAATAATTATAGGTTTAAAAAAAGACCACTTTTTCCTCCGTAAATGTTCTATATTAAATGGTTAGAAACTTTGTTACTCTTAAATACAATCATATCTATAAAAAACCCCAACAAAAAACATGAAAAACTCGAACTATGCAAGCTATATTTGAATATGATTTACCTTAACCCTGATATGATGTTTTAAAAAGTAATAAATTGAAAAAGTTTTTTAAAACATTGAGGTAAATCCTGATATGAATTTTTTTGTGTTTTATGTATAGTTTGCATAGTTCGAGTTTTTCATGGTTTTTGTTGTGGTTTTTTGTAGATATGATTGTGATTAAGAGTAACAAAGTTGTTGACTGAAGATGGGAGGTGATCCCAAAACGTCTCTAACCATTTAATATAAAACATTTACAGAGGAAAAAATGGTCTTTTTTTAAACCTTTTATGTAGCAACACCTCTAGTTTAAATTATTGTTTTATTAATAATTATTTATGGACAAATTATCCGAACTTTGAGAACCTCATGAAGACGTATGATACAACATTTTAAATTTAAGATTTTCGCTTTAGAATCGAACGAAGAATATCGTTATTACATGTACATTATCCGCCAATTTCTAAACATCCTGTATACAGGGTAATTCAAATTCGACCCTCACCATTGGGATCTCAGAAACCATAAGAGATACAGAAATGGTTAAATGGGGGCAAAGTTGCGTATCTTAGAGCTCATCATTTTTCAACAAAGTTTTTGGATCTAGCCGTTTTAGTTTTTAAAATATGGCCGAAAAACAAAAAGATGACTTTTTTCGTTTTTTGCTTATAACTTCTTTATTTTTCTTTTTTTCGTGAATCTGAAAGAACATTCTTAAGGCAACTTTTTATGAAAAATGTCATGACATAATTAGAAATTTTCTCCGACGTTTCGTTTTCGTGAAACTATCATCAGGTTTATTTTTTCTTATGAACGCCATACTTATTTGATTTTCACACAATGTATTTCGTTTAAAAAAGGATTGAATTATTAAAAAAAAAACGAATATCTTATTAGGAGGCTGTAACTTGTGCGCTATGTGTTTCCATAGAAACCAACAAACAATACTTATGAAGAATACTTCGAAAGTGAAATTATTCTTTGTCTTTAGAATTAAAATAGTAGACTAATACTGATTTAAGATGGCTTTTACAAACTTTATTTTTCTGTTTTTCGGCCATATTTTAAAAACTAAAAGCTGGCTAGATCCAAAAACTTTGTTGAAAAATGATGAGCTCTAAGATACGCAACTTTGCCCCCATTTAATCATTTCTGTATCTCTTATGGTTTCTGAGATCCCAATGATGGGGGTCAAATTTGAATTACCCTGTATATCTGAAGGTATAGATCTTTTGAATTAAACCGAGGTTGTTTGTGACTGAGGCTCAATGATTAAAATCATATCTACCTAAAACTACTGTTATGAAATAATCAACTGTTATGATATCGCAAGCGGCGTCGGCTTTATCAACTGAAGTTGTAGATCTTTTAATTAATTAAGTCGGGGTCGCTTACTCTCGAGGCCCAGTAATTAATCAACTAAACTTGAAGATATTCTAACTAATTAAGCCAAGGTCGTTTGCGGCTTATCATATCACAGCGCCTCGGCCATCAGATGAAATAGATTTTTTGACTATTTAAGCCGAGATAGCTTACGGACGAGGTTCAGTCAGCTTATTTAATATTATATTTAACCTGAAACGGGTCAAAATATTGCGACCTCTCAGTCGCAAACAGCCTCGGCTATATATATATATATATATATATATATATATTTACATATGTATAGATGATTTAATTAAATAATAAATAAAATTTGTTATAAAATTCAAGTATTATGTATTTATATTATTAATGTCATCCCTAAATTCGGCTGCTCAGATAAATAAATACTTCTTCACAATTATACACCTTTTATTAGAATCTATACACCTGCATGAGGAATTTCAATAGTTTGTACTTTTAATAAAATCCGTAAAATATTGACACTGATATGTATTTTCATAATAATCTATGTTTTTATGACGTATATATCACTATTCTGTAGGGATTCAAAATACAGTTTCAAACATGAGAGTTGTCGACCAATTAAGTTAAGTATTAATAATAAGAAAACGCTTTAAAAAACTTCTTTCCTGCTTTATTTATAAATTTCCTCGGTACCGGTTTCGACCTTTACATTAGGTCATCATCAGCCAAATCTATATAATTGGAAAATATTTATTTATCTTATGCATTTTTTAAAGAAACTATGTCTAATTTATAAAAAAAAATGTTTTCTTATTATTAATACCTTATTTAAAACCTGCAACATGGATTCTATCAAAATTAAATTAAGATTCGAATACAAAAGTCAACAAAAACTTCAAAAGGACATAACATAAAATTAAGTATGTAATTAAGTATTTGTTCAGTTTTTTCAACTGGAAGTTGAAATTTTAAGATTTACAGAGAAAAGTGTCATTTATTTTAATGATGAAAACCGCTTAGTAAAATCTCTTATGAGATGTAAAGATAAGATGTAAAAAAATATAAGATCTCTTATATGTCTATATATGAGACATATATTTTTTAAGTCAATTATATTTTCTGATTAACGATTACTTTTAAAAATCAATAAATCGGGGTTATAATATATCATTGTAAAATTATCAGCAGTTATAAAACAAATTATAAGCTTCTTAATGAAAAAGGTTATTTTTAGAATTTTTTTTTTAGTTTATGAGATATTGAGTTTTAAACTCAATCCCTCTTTTTAACATTTTTTTGGCAGATTTTAATCGTTGATTTTTTTTTAATTGTAAAAAAACGATTTGTAAAGATAATGTTATGCAATTTTCAGGTTTTATATAAGAAAGTATAAGCTTTTTAATGAAAAAAACTAAATTGAAAAATGTCTTCTTTTTATGAAATATCAATTTTTAGACGTAACGTTGCTATTTCCTAGGGTTTTAATATATCGTTATGGATTTATCTCCATGTATACACCAAATTATACGCTTTTCAATGAAAAACGTCATTTTTCGAAATACCGAAATTAAAAGTATCCTTTGATTTTAATCCAGAAATATTCGTCCTTAACTCTAATTTAAAAAAGTCCTATACATCGTATTTAAGTCAGATAAATTCATTAGTTATAAATTTTTTAATGTTAAGAAAGTAGCTTTCGTGTCTTACTAGTTTCGGTACTGGACCATCTTCAGATACATTTATAGAAGTAATATTATAACTAATTAATTTCTTTACTTAAATTCTGTTATGAGACTATGACATTTTTATTCGAAAATATAGGAATAAACATTTTCTTTGTGTATCAAATTCATGTTTGAAACTTACTTTTTAAGTAACTATAAGTGATTTTCAAAGTTAGGCATGTTTTCAAGTATCTGACTTAACGTTACTTGCTTTCAACCACCTATTTATACCATTAAAACATATTTGTAATAAATATCATAAAAGTTGACAAAAACTTCAAAAGGACATAACATAAAATTAAGTAGTCAATCATTTGTTCAGTTTTTTAAACTTCCAGTTCAGTTTCTTCGTTTGGAATTTTAAGATTTACAGAAAAAAG